TACGCAGAGTTCGACCGCGCCCGACTTCTGCCCTTCCTCCGCTCCAGTAACTACTACCCACTGCAGAAGGTGAGATCAGGCAGCAGCTGTTTGTGTTTTATGTTTTTTCGCTTGAAGTTGTTTTGGAAGCAAGTTCATTTTTTTATATGACTGATAACAGAAGAGGGAAAGGCTGTAAAACTTTGTATCCAAGCTATAAAACTGAAGTGCTGCAAATTATGGGTCCTTTGCAATTTGCCTTGAAGGATTTTGTTGACTGAAACCATTGTTGACTGGATTTTGTTTTTTTTCCTCCTCTTCAGGCACTGGAAGAATGCCAGCAGAGAAACTTCATCCCAGAAATGGTCTTTCTGTTGGGTAAGTCTTCAACGTTTTATGCATTTTCTAGCAAGTCTTGACATCCACTTTAGCTGTTTGTACTTTTGGAAAGCATATTGTCCCTGTCCTTGGTGCTGAACATGAGTTATCCTTGATTGTGGGATGAGGACAGTTATATTTTCAGTATCAATGTTGAAAAACTAATTGTTCAACATTTCTATGGAGCTACAAATGTAGAAAAGTTGATCAGCTCAAAAAAATTATGTCCCTTGCCAAAAAAGGCTGGGGTTCTGTATCTGTATCTGTATAGCCGGTATAACCGCCTTTCGGCGTAACACACCAGCTTCGCAGGCATGCGGCGCGGCGGCAGCTGGCTATATTACACCGATCGACTTGTTACACCTAACCCTTGAACTTCTAGCTCTAGACATTGTTTAAAGCTATCTATTGACAGTGCCCCTACTGTACTTGGTGACAGTGAGTTCCACTCTGCGATAGTTCTAGGAAAGAATGAATTCTTGAACACCTCAATCCTTGGTTGATAACTCTGGTACTTGAATGCATGGCTATTTCTTGTTCTCTTCTGAGCTGGTATTAGGTACTTAGTTGGCAGTTTATCTAGAGTTGGCGGGAAACAGGAAAAAAATTTTTTTCCTAAGCCTAATGATGATGATGGTGATATTTGTTGTTCTACAGGCCGTATGGGGAACACGAAGCAGGCCCTCCATCTGATCACGGAGGAACTGCAGGACGTGGACAAGGCCATCGAGTTCGCCAAGGAGCACGATGATGAGGAATTATGGGAAGACTTGATCAGCTCTTCTATGGACAAACCAGGTCAGGTTACAGGGCTTTGCACAGAAAAGGCCCAAAAATAGGAACATTTTTAGTCCCTAGTTAGTATCTGTGAAAATCCCTTTTTTTCTCTTGAACATTTGGGTTCAGCTTTTGGGCTAGAAGGACCAGGTAAGGGCTAAATTTTCCTACTTTAGGATCCCGTGTGATATGGCTAGTTATCGCAAGGGTTGAAACATGCATATCAAACATTATCGTGGCCCAAGTATGACATAATGGATCTTGTATACGAGACTAAAGAAATTTGATGCCTTCCTTTTTCCCAGCATTCATCACTGGTCTCCTACAGAACATTGGAACCCATGTTGACCCAATCATCCTTATCAAGGTCAGTCTGCTACATTTGACCTTCACACAACAAATGGCTATGTGCATGTTTTAAAGATGTCTTTCTATGCTCTTGCCAATCCTCAGATGAGTAGCATAAGTATTTAAGCATTTGTTTTTAGCTGGAAGTTTCTTGAAAGACTGCTACAAACTGTTTCTATTGTATGAATTCTGTCTCCTGTACAGCGCATTCCAGAAGGACTAGAGATACCTGGGCTACGAGATTCCTTAGTGAAAATTCTACAAGACTTCAACTTACAGGTGAGAGTGTTAAACAGCGCTGATACACCTCATTATAAGTTCCCCATCTTGATTGGTTGGTTGTTTGACACTTGTAAGATGATTTTGATTGGTTGGTTGTGCTTGATTGACGCCTGTTAGATGATCTTGATTGGTTGGTTGTGACTGATTGACACCTGTAAGACGATTGTGATTGGCTGGTTGTGTTTGATTGATACCTGTAAGATGATTGTGATTGGTTGGTTGTGACTTATTGACACCTGTAAGATGATTGTGATTGGTTGGTTGTGACTTATTGACACCTGTAAGATGATTGTGATTGGCTGTTTGTGGTTGATTGACAGATCTCCCTGCGTGAGGGGTGTAAGAAGATCCTGGTGTCGGACTGCTACACACTGATGAGCCGGCTCAACCGACAACAGAAACGTGGACTCCGGGTAGAAGGTCAGCAGCTCTGCTGTCCTTAATTTTCTTCAATATCTACATTCAATATTACCATGAGACAAGAAGCTGAGCCTATGTACTAAGAATAGTTTTTGAACCCTTTTTAGATTAGTATTTATTGGAACACTTGTCAATACTATGTACATTACTACTACTTTTGTATTTGAATGCCTGTACTTAAAGCAATAGGGCATGAATGTACAATAAAGGCAATGTATAAAATTTAAAATGTAGTTTTTATATCAATCATTTCTTTGTTACCTCTCACATAGAAGCTGTAGTGTATAGTTTTGATTAATGTTTGAGACCAAGAAGAGTTATTTTTTTCTTTTCAACAAATTACAGGATGTACTGCAAGTAACGTTTTTTTTTTCCAGAGTCTGATCGATGTGAAAGCTGCAGTGGGCCAGTTCTAGTTGATGGTAGGTACATGTACATGTATCCTGTCAAATTGTATGACCCTTGCAAGCTTACTAAGCTCATAAAAACTTTTCTAAGCTGATGTACAGTGTTTGGCACAAGCTATTTTATGTTAACTTTGTTCCCCTCAGACTCTCGTTCTGCCAGCAACATCTCAGTGTTCTACTGTCACCACGTGTTCCACCAGGACTGTCTGCCATACAACACTGTGAGTAATGCAGATCCAGTTGTACTTTTTTTTTACCCTAATCCATTGGCATGTAAACCCTTTACGGATCCTGAACGGATCTCCTTTGCTACATTAGCAAGTGCTTTGTATTATGTATCACACTGGTTATGACCATTTTTGGGATGAACACCTGGGCTGATTATAAGTGGTTGCAAGAAAGTGCTGTCTCCCATTTAAAGAGTTAATTTTTGTAGCTCCTTTACATATTGAAAAGTAAATGACAATCACATGAAGATTTTTTTCAATTAAGTTAGATATTTATTTCAAATATTGGCTCAAAAATGTTACATAACTCTTAATGCTCGTGTTTGTTCTTGTGCCCTCCCACAGGAAACATGTACCCTGTGTAATGCCCAGCGGAGACGCCCGGGAAGTGCCGGAATCTTCCGGAAATGAACACTTAGAGCACTAAATGTAAAATAAGAGGCTTTTAACCACTGAATCCAAGTAATAATACCAGCTTCACCAAGAGCTTATTCTGTGTAGCTGTATGTGGGAGTGGAAAATGGAGTTTTTTGTAATTTACTGTGAGAGAAATGACAATGTACAGTGAAAATTGTTCCTTACAATGTGACCTGTGCAAACATTGAATGCTACAGAAATTCTGAATTAAACATGCTGCTTAGAGTTTTGGGTGTCGTTATTATGTCCAGCCCCCTCTAGGTCTCTTACCCCGTCCCTGCCAAGGGATAGACTACAATGGTTTACTACTTGCAATGTGCCTAATGTACTCTGATAGATTACTATGATTCAGATAGAAAGAAAATCCAAGAACAAATGAAATAGGTGTAGCCTAAAGTCACAACACAGAACAACAAGTCCAAACATACAATTGTGTACACAAATCTTTAATCAGAATCTCCTTTTAAAACAAATGCACATGGACTTGGCTTGTCAGAAAACAAACATAACGTCTCACAACTAACTCACGACTCTCTTAACCGTGAAGGAAATGCTTCCTGTTTCTTCTAGACATATCAACAAGAACTTTACAGGGATTTGCATCTTTGGTCAGCACCGTGGTCCCAATTTAACACCCGAATTTACACGTGGGCAAAACCTGAACATATGAAAATTGCGTACGCATGCGAGCTCCAATTTTTTCCTGCATATAAATCTGCCTACAGAAAGTGCAGAAGTTCCCGCAGTTCAGAGTCCATGTTAGTGATCTGCTGGCTTTGACGTATGTAAAGATTGTATGTTCGGCTTGTACGCCAGCTCTTAAGGTAACGAATATCAAAGCAGGCCAATTCACACTCAATTTTCTTACTTCGTACACCAGGTTTTTGCTCACAGAGTAAATCAGGTCTAAGATACAGCAGTTGTTAGCTTCTCTGTTATATACATGTACTATTGATCATAACAGTTTCTATGTAGCTAAGTTTCTATGTAGCTATCCCATATTCATAAGTTTTTTAGGACAGTTATGTATAAGATCAGACCTAAATAACTAGTCATTCTCACTATTATAAACTTTCCACTGTGTCTCTGGAAATAATATGTTACACAGAAAAGTAGACCTTTTATCAACATACCCCATATTTTTGTTTTGGGCCCTTCAAGTTTAATTTAAGTCTCTACACATCCTAATTAGTATCTAATGACAAGTCACACTTAGTATTCATTATTCTACAATTTCAATTGGAATTACAAGATTATACATGTACAATTCAAAGAAAAGGAATGTCAAAATTATCATCTTAAATACTTTTCTGGGATTTTTCTTTTTTCTACTTTGGGCAACCATAGTACAACAGAGGCACATTGGTGAGATCTTCATTTTTGCATTCATTTCGCTTAGACATTTCAGGCTTCCTTATAACAAGCCATCAGATCTGTCAAATTTACAAAACTACCTGAAGCTTCCACCTAGTTTTCAGATGAACATCAACGAACAAAAGAAATTTATCAAAGCCACCGAAGTCTACGGATCCCTCAGTGGTTCTTATTATGTCATTTTTGAACTGATCCTGTTTGTTTTTTGAATTTGTTAGGTTTTGTGCTTTATGTACAGTACTTGACGTTTTTTTCTTATCTACAGTACTGGTACTAGAGGTTTCTCAAGCAGTACAAGAGCTTGTCAGGTCTATCACACTTTGTTACAAAGGTCCCACTCTGCGACACTTTCTTACAAGAGTCTCTTTCGCCTGAGTTTTGTTCTAGCAGCTCACTGCTTCCTGTTCTGTTGTCGTGGGGACACGCATCTCGTCTGCAGCTCCGAGACCGCCATCATCATCATCCTGTTCAGCATCTGGTGGACGGCACTGATCTGGCTGCTCGGGAGTCCGGACAGTTCCCCTCGCATTATCCTCTCATTTACAGCCGAGAGGGTTTCCACAACACTCATCTCCCTGCTAGACAACTGGAGCGTCACTTCGAATGGCTGCGTTGCCATGGCGTTGGTTTCCCGGGCAACGTTGTCTGCGTCCATGGAAACGAGTTCGCGTAACATCTCCACCACAGGAGAGCCGACCTCGGCAGCGGTGCTGAACATGTCTGTGGACTCGCTGAGGGCGTCCACCTCCAGGCTTGTCGCTGCTGACGCCACGTTCACGTTTTCCAGGATTGACTCGACGTCGAGCCCTTCCGTGTTCATTCCAGCTGCTCCGCTGGAGAAGATGGGAAAGTACGGCAGGGCGCCGCGAATGGGACTGCTTTCCACAGAGGATGGTACAGAGGTGTCGTCGACAAAGTCGTTAATGGCAGCCACGCCGTCGAAATCCAACTGTTGTACACCCTCTTCTCTAGCTTCTGTAGGCTGTACTGTGGTTGGTGCTTGGTCGGTCTCCGAGGGTTGTGCAGAGTGTGACACGTGGGTCATTATGGGTTGTACAGACGTTGAAGGTTGCTCCATTTCATCAGTAAGGTCTACAACAGCTGGCACAGGGTCTGTCTCTGGTGTGGGTGGTAGCAGCGGTGACCTTTCGTTGTTCGAGTCTTTGGTGAGGTCTACGACGGGAGACAGTTGGGCTCTCTCCTCCGTGGGATCTTTTGACCCATGGTCCTCGGTGGAATCTGGTTGAATTGACCCATGGTCCCTGTTCTCTGTGGGTTCTGGTGGTGTTGACCCATGGGGAATCTGTGAGGGTTCAGGTTGAGTTGAATCATGGCCTTCCATGGGTTTTGTTGACCCACAGTCCTCTGTGGAATCTGGTTGAGTTAACCCATAATCTTCTGTGGGTTCTGGTTGTGTTGACCCATTTTCTTTCTCCTTGGGTTCTACTGCCCTCTCTTCTGTGGATTCTTGTCGGAGCAAGATATTGTCTTTCTCTGTGGGTTCTGGTTGGGATGACCCACAATCCAACTTCTCTGTAGACTCTACTGCAGCTGGCCCACTGTCCCTCCCTTCTGTGGCTTCTAGTTTTGTTGACCCAAGGTCTTCCTCAGTGGGTTCTGGTTGTGCTAACCCATCATCTTTCTCCATGGGTTCTGGTGGAGGTAACCCATGGTCCATCTTCTCTGGAGTTTCTGGTACAGCTGGCTCTTGGTCCTTCTCCTTTGTGAACTCTGGTTGATCTGTCACTTGTTCCCTCTCCTTAGCAGGTTCCAGATCCGCTGTCTCTTCTGTTTTGGCTTCGTGGCTGGCTGCTGCCAGAGACTCAGTGGCTATGTATGAAGTAGAACAGGACACGTTAGCACCTTCTACTACACATACCCATTTCATAGCTGAAGCATGTCTGTTCATTTGTAAGAAATATTTCAGCAAATGACATTGATATATATTGCTGACATTGACTATGTATTTGGTGTGTTTTTCGTATGGGGGAGGGCAACCTATCAAGGTGTGTATGCACCTGTTTTGCCCTCCCTTTCACTTTGTGGAAAATCCAAATAAACAAATAAACAGATGACAAAGTGAAGATGTCACATCTTCGTTTGATCCCTCCTCACCTTCCATCTTACTTCCCGAGGTCTGCTTGAGTCTCTTGCTCTCCTGTTGGTTGTGGAACATCTCCAGGGCCTTCTTCAAGGTTGTGACCTTGGGCTGTCTGATGGGCAGACTCTGAACCTACACGTGTGTACATACATACATTATAAACAATTCACAGGGGGTCTTTGACTTTTTTAGGATCCATATTAAGCATACAAGGCTGTAGCTATTCTTCCTGTGGTCCTTTCTAACACACACAGGGAACATGAATACATTGACAACAATAGCAAAATACAACACACAACATCAGGCTATACATCATTACCACTTCATTTTATTCCAAGCACAGGTTCTTCTCCGGAAACACTGGCAAAGAAACATTCATTCATTCATATGTACTCAGATAAACACCCTCCCCCACTGACAATCACACTCACAAAACCCAGACAGGTACTGAATAAGTCACACACCTCTAGAGGAGTCAGCGTGCTGATGTCACCGATGGTGTGGATGTTCCGAGCACGGACCAGCTGATTCAGTCCCCGAGCCCTGAGGAAGGTGTCAGAGATACCATGTTAGATTTAGCTGAAACACGGATTTTGGTTGTAAACACTTTAGTCATGTACAACACTTTTGTCTACTATGTACACCTATCTACATCTATGTTTAACCTGTGTATTGTTGTCCTTATCTTCCTACATTTGTTGTAAGTTTACTAGGTTATAGTACCTACGCTAACCTAGCCCTTCAGAGCATAATGTACAATCATCATAATGTACAATAGAGGTCTTTAATCATCTGAAAACAGAATTCAATTCAAACTCTTAACTTCTAGCTATGCTGAAGAGATGTCATTTGAAACATTTGGAAGTAATCTCCATGTTTTATCCAGTAGTTGCGTCTGAATCATACATCAGTATCATTTACTGGCATGTCTAACCCATGTAAAATGTAAGCGAGTCTTACAGTAAACCAAGTGACACATACCAGACCATTGAGGTAAGCTGTGGAAGAATCTGGTCCACCGGTGTTTTACAACCAGCCAGATCCGGATAAACCGGTTCTGTGTCCCCCAGCTGGCTGTCCTGGGTGTCAGTGTCCTGGGACTGGGTGGTCAGGCTGCTCAGGGCCTGGGACTGAGACTGCTGCAGCACACTGCCCTGGGAAGGAGTCAGGTCAGGGGACGCGGGGAGGCCATCTTTTGCCACTCGTTTCTGTGATGTTGGGAAAGAAAAATTTGTGAAGAACTGTATTAAGAAAACACACAACAAAGCCCTCCTTGTTCACCTCTGCTATATTGTCAAAGTTTCTAGAAAATAGTTGCTATTCCACAAAATACACGGTTTTTAACTACTTTGTTCAAAAGCCAAGGAACATGTGGATTAAAACCTACAGCTCTGCCTGATGGAGTAGCAAACACAGCATCAGTGTCCACCTCCTCCTGAGCCTCTTCCGTTGATTTCTTCTTTGATGGAGTTGTGATGAACTACAAAGAATGGATAAAATAAGTTCTACACTTCTTTTCCTGTTTTTTTCCTACCACATCCTGGCTATTGAAAGGACAGACTTCTGACAAGTTCATTGAATAGGACATGCCGTAATGTTGTAGGAGACTCTTTTTACACAACCAAGTGTTTTATTCAGCCAACGTTTTGGTGACGTGACCGTCTGTCACCTTCCTCAGGGCAATTCTGACTGGTTCACATTGCACTGCAGCACACGTGTCGCAGCTGTAGATACATTCCCAAATGTACAAAATTTACATATCTACACATATACGTGGTCCCAGACGTACGGGAGTTGGATATATACTGATGACATCATGACTGCCGTACCTTGTTCTGTTCGAGGCTTGTGATGGCGGCGCCGGTTGGGGACGTGGTGACCAATGGGGAGGGAGGGATCTGCGGGCGGGGCAGCTCCAGGCAACGGCTCACCGGCTTGGGGCTCCTCCTGGGCTCTGATTGGTCGTCTGATGACATCTCGATGGGATCAGCAAAGGACACTCGACGCACCTGCATGGGCAAAAACACATACAAACAGGCAATCAGAGATGGCAGACTTCGCCCCTTAACCATAAGCACCTACATGTGCAAAAACATGTACAATCATGTACAAACAATCAGAGACGGCAAACTTTGCCCCTTAACCATGACCACCTACATGTGTACAAACAAGGTCATACGTAATAGAAAAATAGTGAACAATTCTGTACAACTTTTTTTTTGTACAAAAAAAGCCACCTTTTACTAGTTTTAGTGTACTTATTTTGTGTACACTGTATTTACACCCCAATCTCTTCTAATTGATGTGTCCCCAAGATGCCCAGTAGTTTAGTCCTTACCTTATTTGGTGGTGATGGTGAGTTTACTTTCTGTGCTCCCCTCTTTCTCAACCTTTTCTTCAAGATGCCTCGTGCACTTGGAGACGCTGAGGGAGAATACATCTTCAAGTAGGGGGCAAATCCTGGGGGGCTGTCACTGGTGGAAGAACTGTCGCTTATGGTAGGCGAGCTCTGATTGGCTACTGCAGTTGCGTAACCCTGGTTGGAGGAGGTAGGGGAGCTGGGATTGGCTGGGACCGAGGTTGTTCTTGTTGGTGAGCCTTGACTTGCCGTCATGAGATACTCCAGTTTGGTGGATACAGATGACTTGTGGAGCTCGTGTTTCCGTTGTGCCATGCGAAGACTCAGCAACCCTGTACAAAGACAAAAACAAACAATTTGTTTCAACATTGTTCTTAAACCAATTTTGAAATTTTTCACATCTTTAACCACAATTATGGCTATCTTAAGCCCTTGCAGGTGTGATCTTTGTTTTTTTGTGTCATTGCCATATTTTTTCCATGCAGAATGAGCTAATAATAAAGTTTAAACTTCCAAAAACTTGTGAAGAAGTGTAGTATTACCTCTGCTGCTGTGGAAGTCTGACTTCTGTGGAGGAGAGAACCGCGCATGCTTCAGGTGACTGGAGACTTTCCCCACCGACTTGGCCGACCGCGGTGTCTCCTTCCTGGAGTACACCAGGACGGCCCCCGTGCTGTGGCGTCTTCCGACCACCTTCCCGGCTGCTGCGCTTTTCTTGAGACGTTTTCTGGGAGTGCTGGTCTTCGGGCTGTCTTTCAAGACGTCTTCAACCTTAGGCAGGTCGTCTGCTGAGGTGTCTAGAGTGGAAACATCGGCTGCTTCTTCTGGCAAGTCTTCCTTTGGAGCTGTTGGGTCACTTTCACTGACTTTTTCCTTCAAGTCTTCAGTCTCCATAGTCTTGTGCTTCCTTGTGATCGACCGTCTTGCCTTGGTGCTCAGCCTCCTCTTCTTCTCGCTCTGAGGAGTTTGCCCACCAGCATCTTGAGATGTCTTAGGTTTCCTACCGACCTTCTTTGTTCCTCTGCTGCTAGATGGCTCTTCAGGGGTTTCTGAATCGCCTGGAATTGCCAACTCTTCTTCCTGTTCCTTTTCCACTTCTGTCTCTTTTGTGCTTGAGACATTTTCATCTGGCACTTCTTTGGAATCTGCAACAGCTACCTGTTCTGGGGCCTTCTTTGTCATCTTGGAGCGCAAACGCAATGCCACAGGAGAGGCACCTTTCAATCGGAGAATTTTATACTCTCTGTTCGAGTCCCTTTCTTCTACATTTTCTACCATGTGTTTTGTATCCTTCACTGGGCTAACCTGAACATCACTTGCTCCAGGTTCCTCATTGGTGCATTTGTTGTCCTGATCCTGAATATCAATTGACTCCACCTCCTCATTGGTTGACACTTTCTCTACTAGCTGCTTATCGGCAGACTCTACTTGAAGTATCTTATGGGATGTGAACATATCCCCACTAGGATCACACTGGCTATCTGCTATAATCTCAGGCTCTTCGTCATCATTTGAAGTGAAAACATTTGCATTTTGCTGCTGTGTGTCTTCTATACTTTGATCCTGGGTGTCTGCCGAAAGCACAGCACTTTGACCTGATGCAGCACAGCCCGCTTCTCCGTATCCAGAGAACAGACTTTCTGAGTTCACCATTTCTTCCACAACACTGTTGCCACCACTAGCTTCCTTAGCACTCTTAGCCTCGTCATCCTTTGACGATTTGTTGTCACCTCCTGTGAGCTGCTTTGTCTGTTTAGCTACTTGAGACAGAGGCAAGTCATCTTCACTATCAACGTCTTGCTTTTTGTCCACAGCTTCAACTTCTTCCTTGTTCAAGCTGGCTGGTTCCTCTTTGGTTTGACTTTCCTCTGACCTTGACGATGCATAGTCGGACACAGACTCCTTAAGACCATCCGCGACCTTCCAGCTGGGTCTCCTTGACCTTGTTGGGATTCTCCTTGGAGTTTTCTTGTCAGCATCTTGAGAGGAGTCAGCGTCACAAGCTGTCAGAATGGATTTTCTTGGGCGCCCTCGCTTCTTCTTTTGTACAGCTGGTTTGGGACCTTCCCCTGCATGTGACTGTTGTGAAGACGTATCAGCATTGTAATCCTGAGAGGAACATGCTTCAACCTTAAAGACACTATCAAGACTCGAGTCCTTCAGTTCTTCCAAGGACAGGTTTACAGCATCTTCCGTAGACGTCTCCAATTTCACTTTAGGTGAACGACCCCGTTTTCTTTTAACTGGTTCAGGATCCTTCGAGACGCTATCAATACTTGAGTTAAAGGAAACATTTCCGGCCTCTTGCGAGGACTCTATGTCTGGATTGGAAGGTAACAACGATTTCCTTTGGCGACCTTTTCTCCTTTTGACTGCTGGTTTTCCCTCTTCCTCTGCATTTGACTGTTGTGAGGTTGGTGTGTCCATGTCATGATCCTGAGTAGAACACAGTTCAGGATTTTCCTTTGAGATATGCTCTAGACTCGAGGCCTTGGGTTCTTCTATGGAATGGTCTCCAGTTGTGGACCCAACTTCAGATTCCTGCAACTCTGTTTCTGGAATGACTTCTATGGATTTCGCGGGTGAAACTTCTTTGCTGGTTGTTGCAAGATCTACTTCTTCTACTTTGCTTCTTCTTGATCTGCCTCTTCTTTTCACTTCTTGAGGAGGAGACTTGGTAGTTAGAAGGTAGTGTGGCGTGATAACTTGAGCATTGCCTTCTTTGTCCTCGGCCGACTTTTCCAGTGGCTTTAAGTCAGAGAAGTCGTCATTGCTGTGCTGTGTGTCATCTTTCGCAGAGTCTTTCAATGGCCAGGAGGGCTTTAGACCCTTCTTTAACTTTCCTGAAGCTGGTTGATCAGATTGTTTCTTCTCGGCTTTGTTGGGACTGAACTTCTTAATTTCTTTGTTGGAAAGGCGTACAAGCTTGATGACGGGGCTAGGCATGTTTGGTGGTAGTTTTCCCATTTTAGGGGATGTCTGAGAAGGGCTACATTCTGATTGGGGGCTGGTGGCTTTTCCAATGGAGCCACCTGATTGGCCAGGGCTCTTTGAAATTCTACCTCCTGATTGGTCCACACCTGATTGGCTGCTGCTTGCAGTTATGCTGGGATACGATTGGTTACCGGGGGTCAAAGGCTGGTTGTACCACAGACCTGATGGTCCTGTGCTGCCCTCTGATTGGTCATCACCCTTTTCTCTGGTCTGTGATTGGTCCATCTGCCTGGCCTTCTGCGACTCTTTGCTGTCCTCTGATTGGTTGCTGATGCTTTGGTCTGATTGGCCGGAACTGTCACTAGTTTTCCTCCTTCCCCTTTTCTTTGCTGAATTGTAGCTATGCCCGAAAGTCGACCGACGTCGTCTGTTCACTTTCGGAGGTGGTGTTCCACAAACCACGTCAACTGAATTTTCCTCCTTTCCCGGCGACTTTGGTGACAATGTTTTGTCCTTGATTTCATGCTCGGGAGTAGCAGGCACCACATCCTTCACATACATGGTTTTGGTGGTAGCAGGTACCAAATCTTCCATATACATGGTGACGGTTTTCTGAACTTTCTTCTTGACGGTTTCTTGAGGTTTGTCCCCAGCATCTTCTGTGGTTACTTCCATGTTTTCTTCAGACGTCTTTTCATCATGATCTACAGCTGAGACCACATTTTCTTGCTGTCTGACATCTGTGGTTTGCATCACTTCAGATGTTGTTTCGGCATCTGCTTGCTTTCCTTCATTCTGAGGAGCCTGTCACAGAAAAACAAAATGTTTACCTATCTTGAAGATTCTTTTTCAGCCCATGACAAAAAGTGGGTTGCCCATCAATGTTTCAGGTTGCTGTCAACACTGTAAGCCAGGCCATCTGTAAAGGTATCGCTCACATACTGGCTCTGGCTGGACAGAGTTTATTTCAGAGGCCATAAGCCCGACTGCTGTGAACTTAAAAATGTTGCTTTGTATGCAAACAAAAAGATACCCTGAGTGCTGAGCAACTTATTGTCTCCAATGAGTCTCAAAACAAAACAAAAAAACATGACCTCCACCACCTAAACTTGGACAAGATCAACCCACAGGACAGAGACAAGTGGCGAGCTGCCATCAAGCCCCAGCTGTACAGTGCAAGCACGTCTAACCCTCGGAAGACTGGGAACAACAGACGATAAACAGGACAGTGAGTGTTGCGAGAGTGTAAGATAGTGGAGATTTTCAGACCCTGGATATATGAGACCTGGTGAAATTACATTCAGTATACCAGATGTTACCCTTTGTTCTTTCAAATTTGTTTTCTCCGTACAGTCAGGAACGTCCATTTTATCAGCAGGCGGCTGTGCTGGCTGTGAGCTCTGCGACATGAGCTGCGAGAACTGGCTGCCATCTTGGGACGCGTCAAGGTCATTGTAGAGGGCAGGAACAACACTGGGGAAGACAGATTTGAACACACATGAAATAACAATTACATGTAACCAGCCAGTGTAACAACAGGATTGCATTTCTTGCTTGCATTTGTTTCTTTGGGTGTGTGTGAGTGTTTATCTTAGAGCTATGAAGGTACTTCCTTGATTCTCTGGGGCAGGAACTAGCCTACAGAAATTACCAGCTTGAAAGTGCAGCATCCTTTTAAACTGCAGGTTAAGAGCATGCTATCCTACCTGAAAAGGTTTGCAGTCACATTTCTAGTTTGTACATTATTGCACATTGTCAAAATACAAATACAAAGTGCAAAAACAGCTGAAACACACAAACACCCCCCCCACAGACATCGTCATTAAAAAAGACCTGCATACCCTCTTTCTCTCATTCTCTCCTTCTGTCTCTCTGTCAGCACCAGAGGTTTCTTGGGAGACGGAGGGATGAAGACAAAGTCTTTGTTGCTCTCCTCGTCCACGTGTAGTTTCCTCCGTACCGCCATCTTGGCGGGGGACTTCGCCGGCGACTTGGCGGGACTGCGGGCGGGGCTTTTCGAGGGGCTGCGGAGCTGGGCACGGACCGGAGATCTACCGAACCGCGCAGGAGAACTCTGTAATATATGTGAGATTACATGTAGTTACATCAGGTGGTCGTCTCAATGGATATCACAGCAGTAGAGCTACAGAGAAGTTGGCAGGTAAGAACAATTTTGGTTGTGCACAAGATCTAAAATTTAGTAAACCTGAAGAAAATATTTGTAAGACTCATCTCAAAAGCTCATCCCACAACTTTTCTAACTGTAGAATTAGAATTGAACATCTTTAACTACAGGATAAGACACACAGACAGAGACACACAGATAGCAGACAGACACACACACTCTGATACACATACACACACTCTTGACTTACAATTAAACTTCTTAAACTACAGGGTAAGACATGTGTACCTTAGCTCCCATCCTGAGGAAGCTCTCCCTCATGAGTTTAGGAGACCGTACATTGGGGAGGGAGAAGTCCTGGGAGGGTAGAGCGGAGGACTGGGACTCCTCAGTCTGCTGAGAGCTGCCGGCTGCCAGGCTGACGTCTGTCTGCATCTGCCAGCCTGGGAGGCTGATGGGGGTTTTGTCATGTACCTTCTTCAGCACTGGTCTGGGGGGATACAGGTGCGATCATTTAGCACTAGACTAGGGCTGGGTACCTAAACATAACATCAGGTACAGAGGTACAGGTTTGGACCTAAACCGGAACGATTAACACTTCGTCTATAGCCTGTCAAACACAGCTGAATAAGGCCTCCCAAACACTGCCAAACGTTAGTCTGCATCTGCCAGCCAGGGAGGCTGATGGGGGTTTTGTCGTGCACCTTCTTCAGCACTGGTCTGGGGGAAATAGTATCATGCAACTAACACTAGACTAGGGCTGGGTACATCAACATAGCATCAGGTACAGATATACAGGTTTGGACCTGAACTGGAACGATTAACACTTCGTCTAAAGCCTGTCACACACAGCCAAATACAGCCTCCTGAACACTGCCAAACATTAGTTTGCATCTGCCAGCCTGGGAGGCTGATGGGGGTTTTGTCATGCACCTTCTTCAGCACTGGTCTGGGGGGATACAGGAGTATCATTTAGTACTAGACTAAAGCTGGGTACCTAAACATAACATCACGTACAGAGATACAGGCTTGGACCTAAACCGGAACGATTAACACTTCGTCTATAGCCTGTCACACACAGCTGAATACGGCCTCCCAAACATTGCCAAACTCCCCAGACCATGTTGGCTGCAGTAGGCTAGTGTTCGGTGAGGCCAACTTCGCCAGCTGAATGTTTCAAACCTTTGGGTGTGGGTAGGAAGATACACACTCACTATCGGGGCTTTGATTAAAATTGGATAAAATCTAACTATTTTACAATATTGATATCAAAATGACTTGCATTATACAGTAGTCAGGATGATTAAAATATTAATATTTCTTACTTGAGTTCCTCTGGATAAACCAGGGAGTGTGATGTAGCGAACGTTGCATTCCAGAAGAGGAGCGTCTGGTTCCTGATTGGCTGTCGGCTGTGCAGGAAGGTGTGCTGCAGGAGTGACGAGAGCGTCGCGAGGAGTTCCGTGTTGTACGGGCCGCCGTGCCGCGTCTGGACACACGTCAGCAGCTCACCCCACAACTTCTCCAGCTGTGGATAAGATAACAACAAGTTACACTCTAAAATACGAAAACAATACAACAATATAGTACAAGATTTACAAAAACACAGATGTGTAATAGCTAAAACCTATACTATTGAGGTCTTAGGGATGAACAGGAACTTATGTAAAGGTTGTGCAAAACTTCCGTAAGATGCAAGTTGAAGAGATTAAGTTGAATGTATCCACAAAGTTACAGTGTACAAGTTGACCTAAGTTGACTATCTCTACCAACTGCTAGCTAGCTGCAGGGGAAAAAGAATTGTGTAAACTTACCTTCAACATGAACTGGGGAGAATACAGCTTACTTGTACTTGCACCCCTGTATTGGAAAAAAGACAGCTGTTAGAATTCCTTACTATTAGTAATACGTCCACCTCATAATCTTCATTAAGACATGAGACCTTTGAAATCCGTAGCATATTCCTGAGTCTGAATTGTGCTATTACAAAATGTATTTACATACACTTACCTAGTTGAGCTTTGGTAGAATACTGCAATCTGATTGGCCAGTTTACTCAGGAGGGAACCAATCACAGCAGGTTGTGTGATGTGTCCAAACAGGAGGGACAGCATGCTGATCACCCCTCCACCAATAGTGGACAGGGCCGCTGCTGTGGCTGTTTTCTGTAAAAGAAAAAAAAATGCATCTAAATTATGCAAAATAAAGTCTCTAACTGCATCAAGCATTTTGTGTAGTCAATAGTATGATGAGATTATGATTCTTCTTAAACTGTTAAGAATTCTGAACTGTGATTTAATTATTATAGCATATGTATAGGCAAAATTTGGTTATTCTTTCTCTTCTTTTTTCTTTACCTTTGACCCCTGGATGCTTACCTCTGACCCACTGATAAGGTGTAGCTCCTCCATGACCTTTGACACCAGGGTCACCAGCGAGGTCAAGTTTCCCATGGTCCTCTGTTGTTTCTTCTGTTGGAACTTGGCAGGACTCAAGGGCACTGGTGACGTAGGAAGAAATTATAAAATTCATTAACTTGATGCACAATGGATGTGTCAGGGGCTTTACTAGTCTAAAAAGTTTACAGCTTAAAAAAATATCATATTAGTTTTCTATGCATCGGTGAAGGTATTAAGGTACACCGAAAAACAGTTACTCAAGTAAATGGATATGATTTTGGAAAATAATCATATCCAGTTGCTTAAGAAACTGTTGTTTTTTTTAGTTTATGCAGTCTAAGAAAACATTGCCAACATTGATAGTATATGAAAGGGGTGGGGAAAAAAAGCACTTACTGATGGCCTTGTTCTCACTGGTGATTTCAGAGAAGTCCACACAGTCTAGCATGGTCTGGAGAACGCTCACTGCAGCCTCCAGGGCCTGGGGGGTCTGAAAACAAACAAACAAACAAATAAATAAATATCTGTATTCAAATGCTCTTTGTTGAGGTTCAGAGGAAGTCTATAGTCAATGGAAGAAAGCCTATGTCACAAATATACAAAGCTATCAAAATATCCATATTTGTATTCTATATTATATGTATATATTTGCTTCTACAAATTTTAACATTCCTAAAATGGCTACACAGTCTGAATTTGAATAACTTGGCAATGCAACTTTAGGGATTCAAATGGTATTTTCAACACCAGTGTTTTTAACAGCTCATTTACCAGACTAATCTAGCAAACAGCTGTTTTTCTATTGAAAAAAAAACAAACAATCATGACAATATCATACAAAACATTAAGGATCTTACCTTTAAACTGTTCCCCTTCCACACATGTAACAGTTTGAGGCTGAGTTCTTCGCAGCATGTGTTTGCAGGCGCGGTGGTTACCATGGCAGCACACATCGCAAACGACCGGTACAGATCAGTCCAGGTCCTCAGGGCTGCTTTGAGAGAGGCCTTCACAGGATACAAGGAAGAGGAGGAAAACTATTTAATCCCTGATTTCAGTCGCGGATGAAAGATAGCGGATGCTATCTGCAACGTCTGACACTTCAGAAAATTTATCCAGTTCCTTGATTTACAGAATAGAACTTTATTGCACGACAATTGCACAAGGATGTGTATTTTGTATTATGTAATGTTGTACCTGGATGTCTAACCTTCCTTAACAAGCACTGCATACTGGAGACTTTGGAAGAATCTGTAACAACTTAGCCGACCTTGCCAAACACTAGCCAACCACAGCCTACATTTTGTACCTTTCTCCTGACTTCCTCCTAACCACTGTTGGGGGGAGTTTGGCAGTGTTCAGGAGGCTAGCATGTGTTACACAAGCTCTCGGCCGGAGGTTAATCTGGGCGGGCGGGCGGCCGCCAGGAGCGGCATTAGTCAGGCTATTCAGGAGGCTATACTGTGACAGGGGGTTTACATTGCATTACTGCAGTTGTTTCAACTGAAAATTCAATGAGACAGCAAACTTTGATTTTTGTTTTGTCATGAAATTTTAGTGCATGAATGTAGAGTAGTAAGTGACTTACATGTGGGAACTTGTCTGCTGTGAAGATGTGTGCTGCAGGGAGGAGCAGGGCAGCATACAGCGCACTGAAGTCATGCTCCAGGGAGTCTCCCTGATTCACCTCATTATGCTAACAATCAGGGACAAACAAAATGTTGATTGGATGCAGAACTGGATGAAATCAGTATGGACTTTGTGTATATTTCAATTACTTTGTATATGTCTTTGTATATACCTTACTTAGATGTCTCTCAATTTTTTTATGTGACAAATGGTACTCAATTCAGGGGGTAGTAGTTATTCTCCCCCTGCTGATGTACATTTGAATTAGTGCAATAAAGAAATTGAAATTGAAAAAAAAATTTTTAAACAAATATGTGGAACAAAATTTTTACATACAAACATTTAACTGTTAGGAACAAACATTCAACATACAGTCAAACCTGTGCTAGTGATAATCTTTGTACAAGGTCCTCCTGGCCACGTTTTGGTAGTCCCTTAGATTTTCTAATGATTGACTAGAGAATTAACTAGTCATAGGGATACCCTATTGTACAATAATAGAGTTATCATTTTATAAGAGTTGAATTCATCTTAAAGCTTTTGGAACAATCTCTGCACATGGTCCTCCTGGCCACTTTTTGATAGTAGTGATTGTATTTCTAATAGAGAGAATAAACTAGTTATAGGGATACCCTATTGTACAATTATAAATGTATTTCATAATAGTTGAATGTGCCTTGAAGACTTTGGAACGATATTTAAGTTGTGTACCTGTCTGACATGGTCCAGGAGTGGTGAAGCCACGCTGCTCCACACTCGCCACAAACTCTCCTTGCAGGAAACACACCTGGAGAAAAAAAAAAATACTATGGTAGAAACACCGGGCCTGTAGTACTGTACTTGTTCTGTTTAACCTACTGATTCTAAGATCTTAACATATTTAACGTGCATCTAAAATAAACTAAACTATATTTGCTACAGCTCTTGAAGACGAGGACTGATGATAATATTTTATCTTTAACATTTTCGGTCATATTTGGACATTCAGAATCCACTGTCACAAGAAATCTTACATCTCCCCATATGTACATGCAGGGTGGATAGTGAAACTTACCCGGCAGTTTTGTCTAAATTCTGTAGGACTGACTGTGAGAACCCCAGGAAGGATGTCGGTCTGCTGGCACCACAGGACACCAGGCTTTGGAACACTGTGAAATACCTGTAACGTAACACAGAAAAACTTTTATAGAATCTAGAAAAAAATTGTGATTGTTAAAATATATAGTTTCAGCCAATGATATGTATCAGTTGACATGTACATGTAGTAGACTTGAAACCATTGGTTGTTTCATTTCTGGTGTGAGTGGTTCAAACCTCACAGTCTGGTCTTATGCAGCTTGTATTTACTGTACAAAACTGATGTGTGATGCCTACAGGATTTTGACTGGTTATGCAAAACACACAAGACTTTTCAGTAGTATTATGTTGTTTGTTTCCTACCTCTCCTCAGTGCTACAGGCCTGAATCAGGTCCGGACTTTCCAGTAACAACTGTAGCAGAACTAGAGCAGGTGTTCCCTGGAGACAAAATCACAGCTTTGTCAAACATGCTGTCAGCATAAGGTCTGAATTAGCAGCTTACCTTCAGATAGTTTATAAAAATATTACAGTAGAGCAGGTAGAAAAATGTTTCAAAATGAGAGTTTAGGATCAAGAGGGTTAAATAGCCAAAGTAGTGTGTTAAGAAAATTTCAAGTAGTAAAAGTGGTTCAGTTAGAGTCAGTGCTCTTTCAAGAAATCTTAAAGAAACAGTCTGCGGACTCACGTTCATGACATCCTTGGAGCCTCCGTGACAGTAAGACGTGGAACTCAACACCTTCTGGGGGAGGCTAGAGACCTCTTCTAGGAGTTTCTGTCAACACACACATGTACATATTCAAGACTCAATTCATAATACAAAATGTATTACAAGATAGCTTCAAACAGCTGTTATATTTAGATACTGATACAAATGGTTTATGTGTTACAAGCTGGTAGGTGTGATATAACTAAACTAGTCATTGCCACGATGCAAAAATGGAAAACAGCATAGCTTATATGTAAATGTTTAGGTGACTCACCAACATAACACCAGCCCTGAGTTTCCTAGAGGCCACAACTTCTTGTGTACAGGCGAGATACTGGGAGAACATGTCGGAAATCTGCGAGTCTTTTCTGGGCCCTTAAGGAAGGAAAGAAAAATTAGGTGGACAAAAAAATAAGGCAATCAGAGATGGCAGATTTCAAAATTACCCTTAAAGCTTTGTCAAATTCACACATAGTACAACTCTACTAACCTTCCTGCAGTGCCTGTCTTATGTGTCCAGTCAGAGAACTCCAGATGTTCAGCACTACCACTTCTGCAACAGGAGAAATTAAATCAGACAAATTGAAATCCTATGTAAAGATGCCGAATTTTTCACTTTAAGACTTTCCCCTTAGCTACTAACATCCGTGTCCATAATATCACCAGGGTCCATAATATCGCCACCTTGAGAAATAGTGTGCTTTAAGATATTTTTACTGCAATATAATTTTGGTATGCACTCCTGCACACCTCAAATGTACATACCTAGGGTATGTTGCAGTAAAAATATCTTTAAGCACACTTTTTCTCAAGGTGGCGATATTATGGACCCTGGTGATATTATGGACACAGATGTTAGAAGTAACTCCATTATAATATGTTGCATATTTGAATACACTATCACCTTTAGATTGTTTGTACGTACCCTGCAGGTCTGAGCCGATGGCACACATGGCCTCCTGAGTGGCTCGGATGAAAGTTTCCGCATGTTTGATGAAGAAGGCTGGTGACGTAATCAACTCTTCATGCAGGGGGGCTGTAGGGAGGAAAACACATTGTAGAAAAACCTATTTTTACTGACAATGATAACAACCTTATTATTGCCTGGGGTTGTTTACATGAGGGTGTGTGCTATTTTCACTACTGCACTGTTGATAATGGTGAAGTCATGGTATTCTAAGCCAGAATTGTTGTTCTGAACTAACTGTGGCTTGGCAAAAGTATTCCCTGTTCCCTCCTTTATAGATACACAAAGGAACAGAACTGGTGAACACATTACTTCCTTACAAGAGGAAAGAACACTAGACAAGCCTTACCCAGAGTAAGCTTAGCAGCAGCTGCAGTACCAGTTTTGCCCAGTAGGTGGAGCAGGATCTCAGCCCCTATCAGTTGGATGGCCTTGCTGGGTGGATGCCCCCCTCCCACACCAGGTGTCCTCGGCGTGGCTGGGTTTGGTGCAGGGAAGGATCCTTCAAGAGGAAAACATTCTTAAAATTTCACCATATCTACAAACGTAACGCCTTCTGCACTTGTGTTCCAGTGCTGATTCAGTGGTCAAAACTGCATCACTGGAATTCCAGTGCTGACGAAAGTCGAGCACTGGTTTACCAGTCCTGACGATCACTTCAACTATGGTGTTTCAGTGCTGAGAAAGGAGGGTGTTACTTTTGTGTATTTGCATATGTACGCAAGTATACAAAATATGTACAGACAAAAGTGTGCCTGGCTTTCTCCTATTTTTGTTAGAAACTAGATTGTTAATTGTAAAAAGACCGACGAAGATGGTAGATGAATTAAATGTTTACCTCTCCTCTGAGGAGTTGTTGCAAGCAGCATCTTGCCTCCTGCTGGTGTGGCTGGGGTAGGGAGGCCTGGTGTGAGACCTAGGGTGAACTGTAGTAGGGGACCACAAACCTGCAAGAAATGGACGCAGCGTGAGGCCCACACAAAACTGCAGCATTAGCCCACAAACATACAGAAACAAATGTCAGTATGATACCAAGACAGAACTTCAGCATGAGATAACAACCTGCAATGATCACCTATTTGACACCAAGACTGAACTATAGTGCCCGCACATGTATTTCTTATATGTGTACTTCACTTTCTATTTAGTAGGAAGAAAGATTTAAATGAATGAACAAACCTGTTCAAAGTTGGGTGGGAGATTGGTGCCGAGTGTCTGCGCCAGGTGCCACCAGGTGTCCAGTCGCACCACAGCTACAGACTCCTGTTCATGATAAAAAAATTCATGATAAACTTACTGCACATTTAGATAAAAGAACTAGGCAACTTCTGAATGTTTACTTTTTTTTATCATGAGGAAAGCTAGTTTTCTCTCATAGCAATATTTCTTTTTTTTTCCTTGCACAAATGGTGTGAAAAGAACTATGAACTTTTCTACTTCTACCAAGAACTCTCCCCACCTGTTTGGTGCTGTTCATCAGTAGGGGCTGCAGCAGGAGCTTCAGACGTTTGGCGTTGGAGATCGTGTCTGGGTTGGTTGCAAAGTTGTTGATGAGGTGCTTCCAGGCGACGTAGGACGCCACCCGGGTGTCGATGTACGCACTCTTGAATCCCTGCTCTACGATACCCAGTAATCCGTTGATAACACTGCCACCCTTGTGGATAGACTGTGTGAGTTGGGAGAGGAAGAAAGTTGTTACATTTTTGTGGTAGCTATAAAAAAAGTACTTTGTCTTGTTAGAAAAAATAAAAAAGGCTTAAAGACAACAGACATGTTGGAGATTCAGTCCCTTTGTATTGTCTCTTCTGAGAATAGGTCCTAACGTAACGTCTTTAACTTTCCCAGAAATATGTGGCTCCTACATTTGTATTGCTACATCCGCTAGTAATGAAATGATTCTCCCCTTTAACTCTTACCTTTCCCAGTAGTGTAATGATACTCCCCCACACTTTCAGAACAAACTCCTCCTGGTTTGGCTTGAACAACTTGGTCAGCTCTGGTATTAGGGTCTGGAAAAAGAAACAAATTAAGTTACACTCAAAATAAAACTGGTATTTCTACTTTTTGGACTAAATTCAAATCAATCAATCAGATAAAAACATTTCAAAAAGAGTATGATGTCAACTTTCCCAAAATATATACTGCGGCACAGCCATATATCGTTAAAGCTGCTATTTTTGTCCATAGGACTGAAAGGGTCAAAAAGCAGTAATGGTAATGTTGTGATGTCGGCCATCTCTGATAAGTTTAGTGCCCTGAAGTGGCTGAGTTGACTTACAGATTTTAACTCAGGGATCAGCCCTGCGACGACCGCCTCTTGCTGTGGCATCATGGCGGGAACTCCGATCTCCAGCGCGGCGGCCGATCTCTCTCGGACTTTCGGCGCCGTGTGCACGACCGAGAGGAGCACGAGCTTACTCCAACGGTGTGCATGGACCGCCATGTCACCGGGTACCTGAGAAGGGCAACAACGTTTTAGATTAAAAAATGATGAGTGAACAACTTTAGGTTAATGCTCTGGAGAGGCCTTTTTTCTCTGTACAGAAGGTACATGTTGGATATAACTATTACTGTTTGAATTTCATCTATTACCAATTTACCACTACCAGTACCACTCCTACTTCTATTACTCCTGTTACGTCTACTCCTGTTACTACTACTACTACTACTACTACTTCTGTTACTGCTACTGCTACTGCTGCTGCTGCTACTACTAGCTACTGCTGCTGCTGCTACTACTACTACTGCATCAACTCTCTTACTGGTTCAACTGCTCATTTTGATTGCTCTATTGTGAACCAGAATACAGAAAGATTCAAACCTGTTCCAGAAGCCGTCTGATGGCGTTGAGTGACTCATGCTCCACACTGACTGACTGGAAACTGCCCGAGTCCTTCACACCCAGGATGGCATCTAAAACACCTGACAACTGAGGTAAAAAATCATTTGCTTTTCAGTAACATGAAAGGCTTTAAGTTGTGGACAATGATTTGGTTTTGATGTATCAGATTTTATTTGTTCTTACTGAATGTTGTCCAGTTTTGAAAAAGCAAACGACACTAACAGATTTAGGTACAAGATTCATACTGTACGATTCTCACCTCTTCCTTGACAACAGTAGAAGGGAAGTTTTGCTTAGCGATGCACCACAGTGCTCTGATAGCAGTGGTCTTGTCTTGGACAGCCAGTGTGGTACACAGGGCTGGGGGGAAGGAAAGGTAATTAAACACATACAAATACTCAAGATCTTGGAGACATTAAGAAGGTAGTGAGAAGGTTTCGTTGAACGCAAGAGTAAAAATTCAAAATGGAAATGACTGCTTACCTCTTAGTAAGCTTCTTGCAATGTCATCTGAAATAGACCTGCAAATGGGGGGGGGGGGAAGAGAAGTTTGCCTCGAGTTAGAAGAATTTTTGGCTGTTGGGAAATGGATTATCTACATGTACTTCACACATACAGACAAACACAGACACACACTACAACCTTATGATGCCAATTTAAATGTTCTAGTCACCAAAAAAAATTTAAATTTGAGCTAATAGTACCCTTGTTCCTTCCTTCCAGGCAGATTGCCTGATGTAACAACACTTCCAGTGGCTACAATTCTGCCCTGAACAGGCCTAGGTTTCCCTTTCTGTACTTACTTTGAAATCTCTGCATGATGAAGACAGAATCCCAGTGCCTGGAGAGCTGTCTGGGACACTTCTGTGTTTGTGGCCCCCAGTTCAACATCAGCCTGAGGGAGAAAACATGAGATGTTAATGGTGAAAACTAACATCTTGTGAGTTCAAGGGTGGATCTAACCAACCTGCAGAGAAGTCAGCACCAGAAGTTCTTGGAATGTCTAGGAAATTTCTGGGGCAGGCGGACACACAGGCCAATGTTTAGAGCAAATGTATCTGTACTTGTTATCAAGCAACAATTGTTCTTGGTATGTTGGTGAAGGTAAGACATCCAGGTAATACTTACTCAAGCAACTGGATCTGATTTTGGAATTGTCCTTGGTCTTTCCTTTAACCCTCTCCCTACGGTCTAAAACATTGACCAGTACAAATTCGTGCCAAATGACTACCTTAGCAGACTGAAGGTTAAAACAAACCAATCAGAAATCTCTCTCATCCTTACCTGTAGCCTGGGCAGCAGCTGTCCGGACAGTTTGCTGAGACTGTGGGGGAGTGTGCCACCTTCATCCTCACGGAGATGGCTGGAAACACAAACAAATCAATTTCTTCTAGCCTGCAACTGCAATTTCTGTCCATAAATCACATGTTTCCACAAGTTCAAAAAGGTGGCGTCAAATGGCTGAGTGGTAAGGCTAGCAGACACAAGACCATGAGGTCATGGATCTGATTCCTGTGGACGTTATGTCCTTGGGAACTTTCTTCCTTCTACCCAGGTGTAAAATGGGAACCTGTCTTCAGTTGGAAATGTGGAAAGATAGCGATGGGCTCTGTCTCCAGTCCTGAAACCCATGCCCAAGACAAAGTCCATCAACAACCTACTGCCCGTGTGGCCTAAATAAGGCTATGGGACTACCAGTACCTTCTACAAGCCCAAACCTGTGACTTACTCGATGAGTTTGGTGTATGAAGAGACCCTGTCCTCGGCGGGGTTTGACTCCGTGAGCAGGGTCGACATGAGATCCTTCAAGCTGCCGTCCCCCGCGCCCGCCACCGTGACCATCATGGTGGAACAGCCGACCTCTAACCTCTGACCTCAGTGGCAAAATCTGTGTGCGGTGGAATCGGTGGAAAAAATCAGTAAATGTCTTATTTCACTATAGTTGCTTTTAAGCAGGGTGGAAAAGAGTAGGGGTCCTTCCCAGTGTGAAATTATGGTTCAAACCTTACCAACAAATACTTGTCTCCATATTAATTTCCCCAAACCCTGATATCCAAGTGCTGGGTTTGTAGATATAATATGTTTCATATGAATAATTGTATTGTAATTGTAATTGTATAGCCTTAAAACTAGCATAATTTTGGGTGCAAAGAAAAAAAGATGGGGTGGGGGGCGTGGTTTAACTTTTGTGATAAGAATTATGCACCGCCAAAGACGGCATTTCCCTGTAATAATTGTAAATATCAGCCATTCAACTTGAAGATTTCTAGTACTTAAAATAGGATAGGATAGACTTAGAAGTAGAATTTATTGTCTCGCTTGGTCTTAAAGCCTTGATACCCAAAAGCTTAGCCATATCATCAAATCATATAATTTCACAAAGAACGTCTAGCAAAACACTACATACTTATACAGCAAATTCAGAATTACCATCTACTTATAAATATAGAAATCATCATTTTGATACAAATAAATACCACAGATTCCACATAGAGTACTATTTAGTTCATTTCTACAAAGTTACGAATTTTTGCACTCATACACTGCAGTCACAGCTGAGGGAACACGATAGGCATGCAGCTCAATTCAGCCAAGTTTCAGTCGAATTTCTGCACTTTAGCAACTTAGAACAGACGAAAATATAACCTGTATATGCTCGTACGTACTTACCTAATGTGATATGACAACATCTATCCCCAGAACCATTGAAAAACACAGTTTTTCGGACCTAAATATCGCTGCTATAGACTGGCGCCTTGCAATATTTTCGCGGGAATATGCCGCGCCAAATTTTACAGGGCATGCGCAGTGGTGGAAAAGTGGTGGCTCATGGGAACTTTTCAGGTCAAGCCACTTTCATAAAGGGGTGTCTTCGCCATTATATGAAATTGTAAGAATAATATTTCGGCTAAAACTGGAGATATCGTTCAAAAACATAGTCTGTTATTCAATCTATACTTAGAGTTATTAATATCTTTTGCCATAAAAGTTTTGAACTATGATACAAGCGTGCTTTTGAGTGTTACAAACATTACATACCCCCAGACGCGGAAGCGGCGAACATGGGGGTCAAAGGGCGCACAGAGGCTTATTTGAATAATTTTTCCCGCCATATGTAGAGTTCAAGCCTGGACTCGCCCATTGATGGGCAGGGGGTGCATTTTTTCACCTGCAGTTTTACTAACTATAGATAGACGTCGCTTCTGTAGATACAAGCTGTCATTTTCTTATAAATATGAGCAGATTCTTGTGCCATGTAACTTATACACAATGTTAAACCTAGAGCATGTCATCCAACCCCTTGGAATGACCTTTAATATATGGTTTGACTTTGGCGACGACAGACTTTAAACTTGTTTTTCGAAGTGCCCCAGAAGCATGCAAGGGTTGGAGTGCGGCAGCCAAAGCGTCGATGGCATGTTTAACCAAGAGCCTTTCCTGTTGGCACAAGAAGCTTGGCCGCCCTTCAAGTTCAAGGCGTTTTATTTTGAGTGGCAACGTCCTTGGTTTCAAGTAACGTGGGAGAATGATGACAAAAAATAGTAAAATGATATAACGTTACGTAGAAGCGCTGGTTGTCTTTGAACATGTATCAGTATGCCAAAAAGCAGTTACTCAAGCAGCTGAATATGATTAAAATAATTACGCAACAATAAAAATCATATCCAGTGGCCTGAGTAACTGCTTTTTGATCCTTTTTGGCGTATCGTATTACCTGGGTGTCTAACCCTCATCGACGTAACGTTATATCAGTATCACATGAAGCTTCAGAAAAGTTTACAAATAAGCTGCAACTAGAAAATTAACTTATGACCAATACTGCGACGTGCATTTTTCAAGGTCATACACAGGGGTACAACAACACAACAGGTAACATTTCCCACGACCTTGCAGATTACGTTATTTAATTTCCCACGACCTTCAGTAACAGATTTCGGCTGGAGCTCCTTGTAACGTTAACGTTATATATGTAAGCCTTTTGTGTAAATTTGTAAATAATTGTAATAAGTCTATTGTACTAACGTTGTTTGTTTCTTTTAAAATTTTCAAGAAGATTAGCATTTGTATTTGTATAGTGAAGAGAAGATAATGGAGAGAATAAAGAATACAGGTAGTCAAGTACATGGTAAGAACTGTTGCCACAAAAGGTGTTTTGAAACAGTACCACTTTGACCTAATTGAGTGAAAAAAAAGATTCTTCAACTAAAATTCATGAAATAACCGCGGTATACTGTTACAACTATGCGGGAAACCGTTACCTTGGTGGGTTTCTTACAACATTAACAAGGGGTTAAGATGTCTTAACTGGCCACAAAGGACCGTCTGAACGTATGAAGTTCCTGTCTTGTAACGGGCACAGGTGTTCCAGACCTCAGGCTATCGTTTGGGACATCAAAAGTACCGCCTAGGAACACTTTCTTTAATACTAGCAAAGACTTTTCTGGAAATTACCTTTCTGGGCAAGTGCGATTAGATAACCCTGAATTGAATAATATCACATTTGCCAAGAGTACATACAATGCTTTCGGTAGTTTCGGCTTTTTGTTTAACAGCATAACGCAGAAAGCTATGGATGGAACCCTGCTTTTTGTTGTGTGCATCAGTCTATTATAACAGGTGTCCGCTGTATGTTATTATGACAGGTGTCCCGGCTGCATTTTTAATGGTATAATCTTTGTCAACAGAGACACCGATCAGGTTGCTGTCAATGTGATAGGGTGGTTTCTCATTTACAAATCTTAAATCTAAAGTCAATCCATTGATCTAAGCTGACATTAACCAAAAGTTGAAAGTTGCGACTGTCTTTTACTGAGGGAATATCTTAGAATTTAGACAGTCCAAACGGAAGCTCTATCAGTAGAATTTGCGATTCTACTGGCAGAGATCTGGATCGAAGTTTCTCACGGTTGACAAAGACTCCGATCGGGATTTTCACCGCGTACCGGCAGAATCGCCGATTCAACCAGATCCGAGTCACTGCCCGGGCCCTAACATACATATATGTCGGGCTGGGCTCGTAAAAGCATTGGTTTTATGTATTCAAATCGTGTAGAGTACAATATTCACCGTGCAGAAAAACAGACAACTTTACAGGAAGACCCCTGGACAGAATGTTATGATCGGTGTTAATGTCACTGTCTGAATCGGAATAACCATTGTCTGTCTAAAATCGTCGGACTGAATAATCCGCTCGTCCATTCCTCCCATTGTTCTCGTTCTGTCGTCATCCCACAGTTATGTCTCGTTCCCATCGGGGCATTAAATCACGTAAGGCTCATAAAATCCACCGCCCTGGCAACACATCCCTGCAAGGCGTGTGTCGCCATGGCAACGAAGCTGTCGCCATGGCAACCAAACGATATTTTTAATCCTCTCTGCTATGCCGGGCAGGACGGTCGATACGTGTGCTGGGTATTGGTCCAGTGCAGCTCGGCACGTTTTGGATGTTTCTATAGAAAACAGAATTTTGCCTGTATGTGTGTCAGACGTGTGTCTGTAGTGATGGAGCGTCGGTTCTAGGTGAAAGGTCAACTCGGCTGCCTCCATCCCGTCCGTGCTGGCACGCTCCGTACAAGTGCGTCTATATTTGTGCCTGAGCCTTGCCCCCGCGGGGGTGACTCGGGGCAGAGAAACGCCATCCCGAGAGACGAGACTTCTGGTTTAGTATTTCCGTCGCAGCGGCGCGAAGCTTCTCGAATATCCGTCCCTCCGGATCGGATTGACATTGCGAGCATAGAGCTGAACGTGGAGCGGCGATAGCTTCAATCATACGTGCACATACCGCCCCCGTCTACGCCGCCTGGCCGGCACACTAAAGCCACCCGAACATGGAGGACTTCAAGCGACGCTACGCCGCGGAGGAAGCGGACCAGTTTCCCGCGGACTCGGACCTGAGCCGCTCGGGCCCCGGGCGGTACAGCGACCGCAGCCTGAAGCGCCGCAGCCTGAACCAGACTGCGGCGGGGTCCCGGTTCCGTCGCTCCGCCACGCTAGGTCCCGAGGCACGGGCACGCCGCAGACAGACCTGGGACGGGGCAGGGTCCAACCTCGCCGCATTTCTCTTCGCCAATGACCTGAAAGGTACGGCTACAGACACCATTATCAACGCTACACCCAAAATAATTATGTGTTAACAATACCTAAATCATATATGTAAAATAGACAACATCGTACATGTACTGTAGAAACACTCTTAGAGAATACCACTGTTACCACATGCGTACTTGTAACACGCTCTCAGTCTACACCCAAACACTGGGCCCAACCTACAATTTTAATTAATAAGGCCAGTGACCCAAAACTGAGAGGGCTTAAAAGATCCTTTCCCCATTTTACTGCACTTACAATAATTACTATGGGGTAACAATACCTATATATCTTTGCATTGTCCAATATGTATCATATGCGTGCAAAGATATAAAAGTATACGACATACGTACACGTAACAGCGCTCCCCACGCCCAACCTACACAAAAACACGTTCTGCGGAATGTTTATTTTGTAGAGCGTGGATAAGTTGATTTTCCTGAGAGTTCTTGTTTAAGTTGGGTTCGCTGAGCCCTCCCGAATGTTATGGAACGTGCCCACGAGGAATCCTGGGACTTAGAGAAGAAAGAACACCATTGAAAGTCAGCTGGCGGGGATTACGTCACAGCCTTTCGTACCTTTTATGGGACGGTAGAAGGGCGTGACAGCGTCTGGAGCAAGGGTCACGATCAGGTCGTTTTGAACTTCCATAAAGTCAAACAAACAAGATATTACATGTTATGTATGTCTTCCAGGGCTCCACTGTAAAACATTGTTTTCCACTGAGATATCAAAACCGCACGTTCCGCTGCAGTACCATAACATACCGCTAGGGGGTCCAAAATCTAATCATTTCGAGGTCCCATCAAGACGTCGACCGGTACCTACCCAGTAACCAAGTTTCATGACAATCCATCCAACCTTCTTCATTTATGGTGCTAAATTACATACGCTACGGAAAGCATTAACCTTCTTGGCGAAGGTACTAGTAATTAACGGTGAATCTTACACGCAATGCAACAAGCATTTAAAGTGTAGTAATGCTGAGGTATAAAATACACAAATCAAGTTTTGCCGCCCCGAAATTGCTTCAGTTTAACTCAAAGAGAAACGATGGGGACAAAAACTACTTACAAAGTTTAAGACTTTTAAAGGAGAACACAACAGACATAAAAGCAGGCGTGGTTCCCCCACCGTTCCTTGGTCAACCCTTTTTGTAATGGTTGAGCCCTCCCATATTGTTGAGACCTTTATACATTCGTCTCGTGTTCGTGTAGCTGTTGACGGAGAAAGCCGAACAAATCTCTCCGACATTTTAACAAGTGGTGCAGAAAGAGAGGAGTGTCCTGTCGGGAGTGAGTCAGACTCTGGGCTGCTTCCAGACAGAGGCTCCCATCTGTCCATCGTAAACATAGCCTTTTATTCGACTCAGCTGAATTTTAAGCATACACCGTAACTGGAACGGCTGTCGTTCTTTAAAAAGAACATAAAATCTCAAATTTGTGACGATATTGCAGATCAAGACGAGTGCTATGCCGATATCTTAGGCCAATAAGTTTAACTTAAAACATACTAATAAGTACATGTGTAAGTAACTTGACATATTGTAAGTTAATGATATTTATGTAGTTTTCGTCATGTGTAACCATCCATATCAATCAGACATCAATCAATCAGCTAATCAATCAATCAATCAATCAATCAATCAGCTAATCAATCAATCAATAAACAATTTCCTCTATCCATCTATCAACCACCAGTCTATTCATCAGTCGATTAATTCTGCAAACCTCTGCGGACGTGCTGAGCAGCATATGGTACATTGGTAGCCGCAGTGGTTCAGTTGCTGCTATTCTATTCTTCCACTGTTCGAAACAAATTACAATCGGGTCCACCGCTAATCTAGCTGAAAGAAATTTCAATTTTGCTCCAAGACGATCGCGTTTCTTCCGAGCTATTTGAGCCATTCATGAGAAGCAAACGGCAGTCTCATTTCTAAGGCTATTGCCACACACATCTGCGTACTCAGGTTAAGGTCGCGCCAGGAAATATTGAAGTAGAATCCAAAGACACAAGACGCTATAGAGACCGTGTTTGCTCCAAGTCATTTGAGCCAGACTTAAAGAGAATCTTTTTCGCACGGTTAAGAATGAAGGGCAAATCCAGTTTGGATCAAGGTGACCTTAAGACGTTAGCCCAAGGTCAAGTATAGACGCCAAAGAAGATTGAATCAGTGGTCACATACAAAACATGTCTGCAGAAGTTATGTTTGTTCCATTCTATTTGGTCTATTCTTCAAGTCATTCCGTTGGCACCTCAGCGAATGTATGGCGAATCTACTTCAAACTTTGAACGGCTCTTAAAGCTAAGATTAATTTGTAGCACACAAATGTAACCAGTGCAAAATCAAATTTGGACTTGAAACCATGGCCATGCTGTCATATATACATTGACGTTTCGTGTTTTACGAAACTCGTATGTTTTTGTGATACGTTAAAGTATACGCGGTGGTTTGATTTGAATGATTCTGATTTTATTATGATTGTATAGTGCATTAATAGAACGTTGTATTGATTTGATTTGGCCTGTGAGTATGCCACAGGGCAAGCCCTTTGCAATACCCTTTGGCCAAATAACATTCATCATATTTCATTTTCTCCACTCCTTATATACATCATGCTATAACAGGGATGGCCCTTTGACTATAATATTGCATCATATTTCACAATATTAGATTTACCACCTCTTGATATATCATACTATATCAGGGTCAGCGTTTTAAACTAAAGGATCTGTCTAGTTGTACAGTGTTGTCTGTATATTATACTGTATAAAAGGTAAAAAGCCCCCGACGCCGTAATTCCAAAGGGTAATAGCCTTTTGTATTGTCCTCTATCGCCATATTGTATTACATTGCATTGTATTACATTTGCCCCTCTCATAATATATCATACTAGATATCAGAGCTAGCCGCCTCTGAACTAGCCTATGTGTAGTGTCGTCCGTATATGATATTGTACATGTACATGTACAAGGGTAAAGCTACAGAGAAACTCTACACCAGTTTTCTCCAGTAGTGCGACAACATGTAATTACACATTCTGTAATAAGGGGGTGAAGACGGGGAATGTGTGTTATTGTGTGGTCCGACTAGTTCGGCACATGCTTGAAGAAAACTGTTGCCATTATTTCGTGTGAATTTGTAAATGTCGCAAAATGTCGCACTCGAACATTAGCAGCGTGAAGATTGCAGCTTTCAGAAGATTCTAACACTTTTTAAACACTTTTAAGTGCTCGTAAAATAACAACATGAAACCAATGATAATAAAATACAATAGTCAATAGTCAAATGTGATAGGCATTATTCAATGCACAAAGACGTTTGTTTGGACAAAAATACACTCTTCTGATGTTAGGCATTGGGACATCGAATCTTGCTAATCCTCCTCCTGATTTCTGTCTCCAGTTGATCCAATTAAATGCTGCCACTGTCGTCAAGATGAGCATGGCAGCCGTTCAGAATAATTCTTGTGACTATGTAATATAATAAAAATAATACTTTGCTTTTGTTTGATTCTGAGATAACACTAACATAGCTTTATATATAGTACTGTATAATATTTTGAAAATGGCATACTGCATTTGTATGTATATATTTTATAATCTTTAATCATATTTATGCTCTTTATGATATCTTATAACCTTTCATGTAATCTATAAGGTTTCAGACTTTGTTTATCAAGAATATATTTTATAATCTTTAATCATCTTCATGATCTTTATAATATTTTATAACATTTTATAATTTTTAACGTTTCAGACTTTGTTTATCTAGAATGTATTTTATAATATTTAATCATCTTTATGATCTTTATAATATCTTATATTCTTTTATAATATTTAACGTTTCAGACTTTCTTTATCAACAGTTTTCCTTGTTTTCTATTCAGAACTGTTGAAAGCGAACCGCGGTCCGACTGGAAATGTAGCCGGTAACACGTTCTCTTACCTCTCGCTTTGCACTGCTTGTTTCTTAAAAGTCTGTACTTACATTAGCAGCACAGCATGTACTAACGTTCACAACACGGCAGCTGTTCAGGTGTGATATACTGAGTACTTCTTGCACTGAACTGATACTAACTGCAACCCAAGGAAAAGTCAGAAGTATTGTTCTGGCTTGTCTGTATGTGCATCTTATCCAGAACCATGCCTTTCTAGTTCTTTGCCTGAATGAGGTTATGGTAAGGAACATGCACGGTTCTGGACGGGCTTTGCGTATCTAAGAATGTATATTTCCAGAGGCACGGTTCTGGATACGCGTGGACTATCCAAACAGATAGAGCATGGTTCTGGATATCGATAAAGCACGGTTCTGGATACAACAATGTGTTTTTACTGTGTGTGAAGAGTATATGTGGTGTGTCAGAAATATATCACGGCGTGGAATAAACCATGCGTAAAGGCTCATTTTTGTCCAAAATAACGGAACCTTTCATCATGCTTTACGGTATATTTAAATGTCATATTTCACAGAATGTATATCTTTATTTATGCCTAACTGTCTAGTTCCGTGAAAACCTTTATTAATGCCAAACTGTCTAGTTATGTTTATTTATGCCTAGTTTATTTATGCCTAGATGTCTCAACTGCAACCGCCATGGTTTAAGACATAATTTGTGGATAACCACCGAAAAACACTTTGGGTGACAGTTGAGATTTATTGCACACACGTCTGCTATATTTCAATCTCCACATCATAACTGTATGCTGCCATTTCTATTCTATTTCTATGCGAATTTGTGTGTTTTTCATCCACTATATATGCTCGCAGAAGCCACCCCGCACCTCACTTTACATTGCTAACAGTTGAATTGGACAATTGCTATATATGTCATCCGTGACTAATGTTGTGACTTTGAACTATGACGAAGCTATGTTTTGAGTGTCACGTCGGGATCCGGTATGTACACGCCCCGGGCTGGGTATATGTTCAACACATTGAAATATTTATATACTGAACAAGGTCAAATGCATCTATCTTGTCCTATGGAGTAACTGCAGGACAGCACGTCGACAGATCATGTATATTGTGCACAGTCATTCGACAGAACGTCTCGTTTAACGTCGTGTTTGCGTATTTAAGGATGACATCCCGTCTATACGTTTCAACTGTTGTGTAGGTAAAGATACCGTTGCAATGGACAAAATTCTGATGCAACGTTGACCAAACGATACATCGAAAACCGCCTTGAAAAATACAGGTTTAAAATTCGCGCAGGCGCAGTACGTTCTGCCGACGTGCTCTGCAGGACAGTGTAGGACGCTGCGTGGACCTTTTCTAAAGAATATACTAATTAATATTTAAGTGTTTCTATAAAAGAAGAAGGCTATGTCCTGATAGGGTCTCTCTTCTAACTATACACCAAGGACTCATTCTTACAATTTGATGACCAACTGTAAAAACTGGAGACTCACCATCATTTTGTGAGCAAACAGCTAATGGTACAGACGTCACAGCTTTGGCAAATGACCACTTTGTGACGCTGCCAACATGATAATGTTGTGTGAAGAAATGTCATCAGTGTTCGTCGGTTCGCAAGGTCACGACATTGTCATGTCTTAGACAGTTCTGATGAGCTGTAATCTTCTACTTTTGTAGTGACATCTATGGCGTCAATGACGTCATAGTTTTGCCAACGACCATTTTATACTTTGGAGTACTCTCAAAGCGCAGGTTTAGACTTCGACATACTTTGACGTGTTTTTAAGCTTTCTTAGTCCTGGTATCTTTTTTTCCGTTATTAAAATAGATGCTGCATTGCCTATTTGAAACGGCTACGGTCTTGCCAATTTGATACCGACTTGAAGCCACCAAAAGATCTGCTTGTACGTAGCCATGGTTAGTTTTGGAGTTGCCAACAGTACAACATTGTGTGACGAAGAGCAATCAGTTACCAAGGTCATGACATCACTGTGTATCAGACAGCTCTAATGATATGTAATCTGGCAGTTGACATTTCTGATGGCAGTGACGTCATACTAGTAGTTTTGGCAGCGACTACAGTGTAGAGTTGCCAAGGATTTCAACTTGATGATATTCGACAAGTGTCCTTGTGTTACGAAGGTCATGACATCACCCTGTCTTAAACATGTCTAATGAGTTGTTATCTGGCGATAACATCTCTGATGGGTATCAGGGCTGACCTTCGAACGACAAGGTCACGGTGGGGAGGGGGGCAGGGGTATTTTTGACAACTCAGCAAATATGCTTAATGTTTTGTGAAACAGGTTCTCCTACTGCATAAGAATGTACCTCTCTACATGAAAGTAGTAAGTGCCCATTGAATGTTGAATAACACTTGATATTTCAAGATTTTAAAAGATTTTTTGAGGGAAATTGTAAATGTCTACGTACGAAACTGTAAGTGTCGGCCTTACACTGTTATATATGGCGGATGTATCTGGTCTATGTGGGTTTACTTGGAAACGACAAGCGTTACCAGTGTTTGTACATATTACATACACGGTGTGTTGATAGTTGTCATGATTATAGTGAGTACTTCACACGGGCACACGGCTGAATTACAGGTATCCATCTTAAAACCACACATCAGAGGTAATTTGAAACAAAGGTTATATTTTACCACCGAAACAAGGGTCGTTATGTTCAATAATGTGCTAATCTAGACAAGTATCTATTACCATCATCACTCTGACGGTAACTATATATGTTCTGCTGCTGTAATTTATTAGAATCGATCGCGAGCTTCAAATGGCACTTATCTACATGAGCCCAATCTGCTCTTAGTTTAAGTTCCTTTCCGCACCTGTGGTGTATAGGGCGGCGCATATCTCCGTTTCAGTAGCCCTTGGGTCACACAGTTGTGCAACAATTACAGCTTCTTGGTTGGGGGGGGGGGTCAACATGCCTCAAAGTAAAGTTTACCACAGCCCACCTCAGTTAAACCCTGAGCTGGGGACTGGCTGTGTATTGGCGCTGGAAACAGGCTGGTTTCTATAGACACATATGAAACGTCAATCATGTCCAGTGATAACATCCTCGGTCGACGTTCCGCTATGTGTTAATCACAGGCGCCATGATGAGTAGATAAACATCATAAACAACAATTATGGATGTCAACTGACCTCACATTTGTCTATTGCTCATCCGGCGAACGTCTTGCACATACTGGTAATTTCTCGTTAAATATTGTAAACTATTTGTACGAACAATGTTTGTTTGTTTGTATGGCATAGCCGGTAAACTGCCTTTAGACGCAACACACCAGTTTTGTATAGATTGTTACCGTGTACCGTGTAAGACCGGACTGTAAGGTTTGAACCACTCACTCCGGGAAGGACCCCTGCTCTTTTCAAGAAGTGCGGTGGGATCTTTGACTTGTTGGGGGGTATGCAGACGTCATCATATCATATCATTACCTTGCTTCTTCCCTCATGACCTCAATGAAAAGCCACCTGCAGGCCGATATGCACTTATCGCGAATAAACAAAGCATTCAAACAAATATGTATCTAATAATATTGGGAAGCCCGTGACTAGGCTTTCCGCTACCTTTCCTCTTAAGTAACCGACACAAATGAAATACCCTTTATTCACACCTCGTGTGTATGACGTGTGGTGTTTTGGCGGGTTTTTAATGACAGAGTTCCTCTTTTCTTTAATCCCCCACATCAAGTCAGCGAACGGCACATTATTCTTACCTTTCCGGTCGGTTACGTTATTGTTCCCCCATCACAGGGGGTGGAGCCAAAACTCGGCACAATAGTGACCCGATGGATGCTAGTCTCCAAATAAGGCCCTGGCTACGGCAGGTGTTTTAATAATACCAGATTATTACGTACTGTACTGTTTCCTGATTATATTGTTACCGTGTTTGGGAAGATATCGTTTCTAAAACATTTGCCTCTGTAAGCTTCCTGACGAAGTCGACAGTGGTCCGATGGTTGGTCGTACGATCGTTCTACGATCGCAAACTGAATGCACTATTGGGACAGTCGTACAGGTGTCCTGTAAAATCCAGCTGTCTTGGCTCATTGTCTACGGCTGATTCTGTCACAGCCCACTTGCAAATCCTACGATATCAAAATCGTACGAATGTGAACGCGCGCAGATAATTGTAAAAAAAAAAACAAACACTAGCCTCATATTTACAGTCTGCGAAGGAGGCTACAGCCCCGACGCGTGTTTATATCTGACGGCTTCGTCGAACAATGAATAAGTCTTTGATGGCCCGCAGGCATTGCCATTACGAGTTTTCTCGGGCAGAATGTAACACGCTACCGTCTAGTTTGCCAGGACGAGAGGTGTGTATAATATGGGGGTCGTTACCATCATTTTCGATGCCGTCATTCTCCTGAGCGGCTATCTGGAGTACGCGGTGATTTTTGCCATGGGAGCGTACATTTCCTACTTCTTGGCGTACTTCTTCTCCACGGCGAAGGCGGTTCGGGACCAGGCAGCGGCGTCGCCTCCTCAAGAACAAGGGGGGAGGGCGACAACAAGTCAGGAACAGAGAGCAACAGACGGAGGGACGACGAGAAGACGTAGAAACCGACGATCGGGTCGAAAAATGGGGAATAAAAACACGAGCGAGTCGAAGGCGCCGGTCGAGAGCGTCTCCCTTCACGGCATGTCGGGCACTTCGGCCCGAGAGGACGACAAAGACGGTTACGATGGCCTTGCGATATGCACCGATGTCATTCCGAGCAAGGACGACTATAGGCAACTGGATTTTGAAAAGACGAGTCTACAAGATCCTTGTACGATGGATCAGGAAGACGCCGTTGAACGCCCGACGAGCGAGGACACCCCTGGTCAAGCAGGGGAGGAGGAAAGGGGCGTATCGGAACCTACTGACCTGAAGCGGCTCAGCCCGCGGATGGCCGACGGCGAAACGGCCGTGGGAAAGCTGAGGCAGGCGGAGACAAAGGTGAATCCACAGGTGGGAACTCAGGTGTGCTTAACGCTACTGATGGGGCGTGCACGGACCGCAGCACCATAAACTCTGATCTTTCTGCTTCTATGAGTAGCAAAAAAGGCGCAGGGGAGGAAAATAGCAAGGAAAGCGAGGGCAGTCAGTCGCTAGGTAGTGCTAGCACTCAGTCTGACAGCGGTCAAACGCTTAAGGGAAAGCCTAAGGGGGGACGGAGGAAGAGCAGGAGGCAAAGAACAAACAACAAGACGGCGGTAGGCGTAACTTGCGCCAGGAACAATACTGTAATCGAAGCGACAGGTAAAGGGGGTGCAGCCAGTGAATGTAAGCAATTAGGTAGAAAGGGCAGCGCTGACGAGCTTTTGTTGGTTGGTGGCGAGAGTTTAAGGCAGCCAGATGTGAAGGAATTAAGCAGTAACTCTGATACGATCAAGGCAGACAGCAGAGCCAAAGTTTACGATCCGAACAATAGCGAAGGAAGACCAGACAAAGGTGAGGTTAAAGGTCTCCCCGCTTCAGCAGAGTTTGGGAGTAGAAAAACAGGTGAGACTGATGTCACTGATAGTGCGACCGAACCTGTCGACGTGAGAGGGCATGTGTTAAACCGTCTCAAGCCTTCGGTTGATCCCGAGCTCTCAGTGGAAGCTCAGTGTTCTCAAGGATCCGAGTCGATGGAGATGTTTCACACGGTTGCTACCGAGATCGCGTCTTGCGACGGCGCCGACGGGTTGAGACCAAAGCTTAGCGCTGAGATAGAAGACGCAGGTGGCGACGCGGTTCTCGGGACTAAAAGTGAAGACGCCGGGCAGAACACTGGGCGTAGACAAGGCGTCTGTGGGCAAGTCGAGGGCGTAACCAGCGGCCAGACGCCAGCAGACGAAAACGATACCTTGTCTCATGATGACGGGAAGAAAAGAACCAGCGACCAATCGACAGACGAGGCTTCAGTCCAAGATGGCAGCCTTGAGCCGGCTTGTGAAGAAGTTGACAGTCGTAGCGGCGAAAAGTTGGAGGAAAATCAACAAGAAGGCACGTCATTTCCGGTTAGTGCACTTGAGGGTGAGACAGGGAGGAAAGGTGGAAGGGACAGCGGCTGTGACGTTGACGTTGGTGACGCTGACGTCACGCTAGCGTGGGGTGAAAGCGACGCCGACGCTGAGATTGAGAGTTGCGACGAAAAGTGTGTCCCAGCTGTAGGCGACGCCACGAGGTGTCCCGCATTATCTCCACCTGTCAGTCACAACACTAACCACGCCAACATTGTTGGCAACGATTCGGAAACCCAGAGCTCCAGCTTGTCCTGTACAGACGTCGCTTCGTCTTCAGCCAAAGACGGCGACGATCAAGGAAGACCAAACAGGGACAGTGGAGTCGACTTTGTTCTAGACGACTCTCGTGGCGGCGACGACGGGGCAGACGTACCCGCCGCGCCTGACAAAACTGAAAACAAAGCCTTGAAAATCTCACAGGACACAAAAGTTGACCACCAGACACTCTCGCCAAACGAGACTAGCGACAGTGAGAGCATAACCAAGAACTCAAGGTGGGTCTTACGTAACACCTTTTTAACGATGCGGACAAGACGGAATATGACAAAGAAGACCATGAACTCAGAGAGCGCTTCTCCAAATGTTGAAACAGAGATTGTCGCTTCGCCTACTTCCATGTCGAACACAGACGGCATGGAACAACATCAGAACAGCAGCAGCGACGAAAAGACACCAGGGGGCACGACTCAAAAGGTAACCGCGCGAAAAATTAAACTCACATTAGATCAAGCACTGTGCCCTCCACAATCGAGCAGTGATAATATACATGTCAGCGTTGGTTTTGATGTGCCCAATGTTGCAAAGAACAGCACAAACCTCCAGAAAACATCAACACCTAGAGATGAGGAAAACGACGCTGATCAGCATTTGAATGCCGAAAACAAAAGTACCGATGAAAAAGTACTTGAAGATGGCAACACTGAACCTAGTGAGAGCATTATAGGTGAAAGTATCGCACAGAATAGCAAAGATCAGCTTCTGAATGTCGAAAACAAAAGAACGGGTGAGGAATTACATGAAAATGTCAAATCTGATTCGAGTGAGGATGCCACGGGTGAAAGTGCCACACAGAGTGACACCGATCAGCTTTTGAATGTCGAAAACATAAGTATGGATGAAAAAGAACTTGAAAACGGTAAAGCTAAATCAAGCGAAAACATTGCAGATGAAAGTACACCACAGAATAACGCTGAACAGCTTCTGAATGTAGAAAACAAAAGTATCGATGAAAAAGAAGTTCAAAACGGTAAATCTGAATCAAGCGAGAACTTTGCAGGTGAAAGTATCGCACAGAATGAGGCTGATCAACTTTTGAGTGTTGGAAACAAAAGTACCGATGAAAAAGAACTCGACAACGGCAAAGCTGAATCCAACGAAGACACTTCAGCCGAAAGTGTCGCACAGCTTTTGAATGTCGCAAACAGCAACTCCGAGGAAAAGCCGGGAGAGAATGCTTCAATAGGGACGAGTGGTGATAATAGCACTGCTAGTACATGTGTCGGGAATGTAAGTAGGTCGCCGGTTGAAACGTCCCGCGCCGTTGTTGACCCCACTCCAGGCGGGCCGATCCATCAGTTTGCACAGCGGAATTCCAACAGCCTATCAGGGGGCAGCTCTGACAACCAGCCCTCCGCGCAGCTGCCGCTCTCGTGCCCAGGCACTTCCGGGTACTGGTCCGATCCCGGGGCGGAGTGTGGCAGTGCTAGTCCGTTAGATTTTTCCGTAGATCCTGCGCCTTTCCTAGACGACACCTTTGCCGGCATGATGCCGCTTTACCCGCGCGGGCAGCAACGGCAGCCCGCAGACTCCTTACGGAGGAGAAGCCTACGGTCCTCCACCAGTGTGGAAGCGGCGCTACGGTACTACGATGCACCGGAACGCTCCCGTACCCCTCCCCCTCACTCTATGTACAAGCCGTCTGCGTACTACCGGAGGAGTATGATCGATCTGAGAGAGGGGTACGTCCCTCCATCCTCGCGTACCGAGGCCAGGAGGAGAGAAACAAGGCCCAAGGAAGTTGTGAAGACGGAGGTCAAGTCTGCGGAGATCAAGAGGGAGACGCCGGTCCTTAAGCAGGTACTCCTCGCCTCCACCACACCACCCTTAAGGAGGCGCAGCGCCGAGGATCTATCGAAGGAAAAGGAGAAGCTGGAGGCTAAGATCGCGGCTAAACAGGAGCCGGCAGTGACCACTGGAGAGACGCAGGAGAAAATACACGCCACCAAAGTCATCGTAGAAGACGTAGAACCCGTCGAAGTGGAGGAGAAAGAGGCCGAAAAGCAGGTCGAAGCGACAGAAATAGAGATAGAACCACCCCGCACGGATGTAAAGGATAGGCCGCCCTCCCCACCTCCACCCACGACCGTAGACCAACCGCCCCAGAAACCGGACACGATCCCAACAGACACAACACCACCAAAGATCGAAGAAACAACTACAACAATAGAACAAGAACGACTTGACGAAACGACGACAACAAAAGATGACGAGCCACCAGCGAAGGAAGAACCCAAGGAACTCCCTCGGCGAAGCGTTGTGTACACAGGTCGGTTGGAAGCGTTATTTTCTGGGTGGTAGATCAGAAGGTATTTTTCTGTGTCTGGGTTTGAGGTGAAATGTTGTAGTTGAGCCCCGGGAGAGATTCTCCTGGCATGGTTAGGGTAACTTGATACGGGGCTAAATGTGGTACAGGGCGCGGTGGGAGATTTTCAGTCGTTCTATCCGGTTTTATGACACGTATTTATTGTGACGTCTGTGAATCATCGAAACCCTTACCCTACGTAAAAATTGCCCTCATCACGTACTAAGCTTATCATCGACCTAATTTGGCCTCAATTGGGGGCCGCCTTGTGTTCTCTTCTCTACCATACTCTAAGCTTTCTTGTGATGGGATCCATCGTATGATGTTGACCCTACATAAAATGTTTTCCCTACATAAACACTTCCTCCATCACGTTCGTACCAGGCTTAGCATTGACCCAATTTGGCGGCCGCCTCGCGTTTAATTTGCCTTTTCCAGACGTATTTTTCTCAGGTTTCTTTTTGCCCTGCGATAGAACCCATCTTATATATGATGTTGACCTTGTCAGGATATCTTAAGGACACGACTTGTCATTGATAAAAATCTAATTCTAGACAGCTTGAGAATGGATCATGTTTTGGAAGGGCTAGGTTCACAAAAACATTTCAGACTGTTTAGCGTCACGGACTATGAGGGATGACACTTCGGCCTTCGCAAGTGACAAATGCTCCCTTTGCGACCGGCTAAAATTCTGAGAGGTCCCTACTACTCTCTAATGCACTCCGTCATCATTTATTTATAACGAAGCCAAAGGACAACGTCCCGAATACCACTTCTTATCTCCAAGCAGATGTTGTGGTGGAAAACCGTATGGTTTTGTTGCTGCCCGGGTTTTCCAAAATAACAAGACGAAGACAAAGTGACACTGCACTCAAGTTGTGTAGATTATGCCAGCGATATAGCTAGCAAAAAACGGTACGTCAAAACAGAGTTAAGGCCTCCAGTCCACAGTGTCCAAGCCGACGACAACAATACGTCCTGCGCGCAGTTCTAACGTCGTTACGGCCCGCACAACTACGTGGGTAGAATTTCCCCCACGGTTAGATACGCGCCATGGATCCTCTAAATGACGGCACGAGTGTGTAATAATGATATTATCACTCCCGTTAGACATTGGATCGGCCCGGTTATAGCTACGCTTGGGGCCATCTGTATCTAGCCTGGAAGCCAGACTGTTCCCAGGCCGGCATTCACAGGCCAGCACCGAGGCTACAGGACCAACATGCTCCTTAGGAAATTAGACTTCATATCCAAGGTCTACTTCATGGGGTTGAGTCAAAATTTCCTTGGGGGCATGTTGGCTCTGGAGGCCAGGAGCTGCCTGAGTGGGCCCTAAGTACAGCCTGGGTTCCAGGCCAATCTGCACGGTGTAGGTGACCTATGGTCAGGGCAATCCTACACGTGCGCTGAATTCAGTATTGCGCTTTTACCAGCAGAACGTAATATATTGACATAACATAAATTGGTCACGCACTTCCTGCTGTGATAAGACAAAAGGAAAACGAAGGAAATGGGCAAGGCAAAGAACCGATATTTTGTCTCTTCTATATTTCACTTTCTCATTCTGCTTAAAAAAATCATATACTATATATTGTTGAACTTGATTTTGTTATGTTCATGGACTTGTAAACAGATTTGGTACTGGATATGTTGTAGTTTATGAATGTTTTATGACTTTGACCTCTGAACTCTCACAGGGCCGCTTAGAAGAGCGGCTGAGACAGAATATACAAATATCAATATACAAAGGTCGAAGTTCACTCTAGGATTTTACTTATCATTGTACTGAATGCAACCCATGATCGTTGCTTCCATCTACCAGAATCCTAAAGAAATATAGCCAATTTGACAATTTAGGATTTTACACCTGCCAAGAGATTGGCCAGCAGTCCTTAACAATCATTTATTGTGGCAGCCCGTCCGAAATTCGCCACTGGTAGAGAAAACATCACGTTTTCAATACACATTCCATCATACTTAATTCCCGACAACACTGCCATTGTCTTGGCGACCGGAGGGGTTTGCCAACATCTGCTGGCAATTTGTACTCTGTCACAAAAATTCAAACAGAAGCGGTCAAAGTCATGGCGTCTGGTCTACATGTATTGTATAGTTTCGCCTTCTTGGCACCGCCTTCTTCGTAACAAAGTTATAGTGCCTGTCATCTTTAAGATTTATGTCAAATGTTTCAACTGTAGCAACTGTGATTTGTATCACGTATTACCGAATGTTGCGTTACGTTTCACATTTGGTGTCTGCTTTCCCTGAAATTACTGTCTGACATTCAGACGATTGTATTACGTGTCAGACATTTTAAAGTAGCGTTACGGTGCAAGTTTGTTGGTCTAGAAAGTTACGATAACGGGAGACATGGTATCTTACATTAGAGGACATTCTAACTTTGTAGTTTGAAATCTGTGCACTTTATGTTATAACGTTACGTTGCAATCAAGTTTGTTGGTCTTAAAGCTACGATATCGGTTGATTTTGTATCTTACATTAGCGGCCATTCTAACCTTGAAGTTCGGATTGTGTGCAGGCGAGCGCTTAAGTTGATGACACCCATTTAGACGATATCGAATGATTTGTGTTGTCCATTAGTCGGCTTAACGTTCGGTTAAGTTCACATTTCTCTTGCTCTTCGCTGTCTAATTTTCTCTCAATGGATTTTGAAACCGTTTCTCTTGCTCGTTTCCAGTATTCTCTTGACACTGTTGAGTCGATATCCAACGAGTTATATCATCTATTAGCAATTTTAACGTTCATTCGTTTGTTAGGCTTCGTGCCCTTTTCCTTGCCAAGTCTTTTCGCGATAGATGTATAAATCTTCCCATCATGATTTGCGTTCTAATTAGCCGTTTTATCGGTCTGGTTATCTAATATCTCTCCTACCTTATTCTTTAGACGATACTTTATTGATGGAATCGTAATACAATCTGCCAACACGCTCGAACAAAAGCTGATCGAAGCGTTCAAATGCCAAGGTCAACGCCAGAAGGTGGAAGTGGCTGTGATGGTTTGTATCAAATAACAAAGTGTAGCAGATTCTTGTCATCTTGAAGTATAGCGCGTGGGATAGAAATACGACGCAGTTATCTGTACTAGCGTGCAGTTTTCATGTTGTTACTTTCATGCAAAGGTTCAGTCGACTGAAAAAAATCGTAGGAAGGTGTTTAAAATACAATGCATTCTTCTTCAGGAGAATTAGTTGTGCAGATACTAGTATCTTCGTCCGTAGTTTTTCCTTGTGTTCTTGTCCATGTTGTTATTTCAAAATGTATCCCAAAATCATTCTGTCAGATATTTTACGGCGATAAACTCTACACACTCGCCTGGAATCGTCGCCCACGCGGACCCATATACAGTATTAACTAGTCGCTGGGGGAGCGATTGTCTTTGTTTAAGTCTTTTGCGTAGGTGTTAACGTCAATGCCAACAGTAACAACAAATACAAGTTACAACATGTTAACAAATATAGTAGACCTAGTCATTGGCTGAACATGAGTCTACTCTAAATAAGCTGAACAAATATGTGTGGCATAGGTGTGCCCCTGGAGTGCCCTTAATCATGTAATATATTTTCAGGAAGGTGTGACGTTTTCCAATACATAAATGTCGCATTGACACTGCTGTTCACTCTCACAACGTTTTAAATTACATTTTAATCGCCGTTCTCCCAAATTAAGGACTGCCTACCAAACTTCCCTTGTGCGATTATTAATGACTTCCTGTGATGACGCCTTATAAGGATCACGTATCTAATTCTGTAGGTTGATTAATTTCTATGGGCTCCTGACACCTTCACGGTCCGTTATAGTATTTATGTTTCCATACTTCATACAACTAAATAATACAAACAAATTCACATTTCTGATGAGCTCTATGACAAACCCCTCACCATAAAACATGTCTGTTCTTGCCTTTTTACCATCACAGAGAAGTGAGGAAAAACTGAATTTACTTAATAGACCATAGCGCTAGTGCTAGCTTGATCATGTTTACGTATAAATGTATATACAAGCCACTCCTTTGTTAGTACCAGTGTACTTAACCAAGTGGGTATGTATGTACGATAAAGGTCTTGATTCATTCAATAATATGATACCCTTCTCTAGAAGCTGAGACACATCCATAAAAGATTCTATTGGTAAGTGCACTAGGTAATCCAGTGTTTACCCACGAGGTCCATAAAATTGTGCTCCCTACATGGTAATGTCTCAATGGGGCACAGTAGATGCATGAAACAGATGTTACCTCAATGGTACTTTGTCTGGAGACAGAATGCTTAGAGAACGGGGTCAATGAACTAATGGCATTTCAATACTGTAATATTGTTTATGTGTTTTATGTATAGGTGTAAGGCTGACCGGTGAGTTCCCAACACCAGCTTCTTATATTGACGATGATTGACGGTTCTTCGCGGAGGTGTTTTGTTTGTAGTGTGCAGGGTGGCATATTGCTTTCATTCTCGACCTTTGTTTTGTATCACAGTATACACGGAAAGATCACGGATCAGTTGGTGTCTTTACAAAACCTTGTTGTTGAACACGCTTTGTTTGAATAGCTAAATGGCACTCGCTATTTGACATTGCCTCGGCCCTTGACGTTTGATCTTTCAGGTTTAGGTCACGCACTAGCAGATATGAACAGGTAGCATTTACTACAGGTAAACAGCAGGTAGGACGTAACTTTGACCCCTAAACTTTGCCCCCCCCCCACGGAAGGTCCACGCATCGGCAGTTATGTGTACAAAACAGGCGTGTTGTGGAAGCGTTATTGTTGTTGTTTGACAAGTTCTCTTGTGTGAGAGATCGTATCTAATATGTTTGCCAGGTGGGACAGTCAAGACACGATACGAGATGCTTATCTTCTGTTTTGTTAGAAGGGTACCTTACCTGTCAGTCTTAATTAAGGTACGGCTAGCCGATTTAAAAGAAAAGTGGCTGTATCTACTGAGAATCTGA